ATATATATATATGCATCCGATCTTGTATGTATATGTGTGCGTGTGTGTAATTTTGGAATTATAGCCCCCCCCCGGAGAAAACTCCACCAGCCACCACTGATCATAACCATAGCATGCAGTGACATCGTACAAGAGATACAAATCCATTAAACAAGAATGAATTCTATTTTTATTCTGTAAAATGACCAAATGTGGTTAAAATGCTCATCGTCAGGATTTGTGGTGGATGCTTCGCTTCATCTGACTCATTTGTGTTGAATAAAGTCTCCACTCAGTGAAGTCCTTGTTCTTGTGAATAAATACGTGGACTCCTTCTTCTCAGCCGTCTGTCTGCAAAAGTGTAAAAATGGCGGTGAGTGTGTCGGACCGAACACCTGCCAGTGTCCCGTCGGCTGGGAGGGCCTTCACTGTCAAACACGTGAGTGCGTAAATCTGACGCATGGAATTTATGGAAACGCTGCAAACTTTCATTTACATGTTTAGATCTGTTGTGTAGCCTTGGAACAAACTCGGGCAGTTTCATTTAAATTCTTGTTATAACGCTAATGATCTGTTTCCCTGGAGCTTTGAGACTGTTGTTCTTGATTTTCTGCAGCGGTCTGTAAAGAGCGGTGCCTGAACGGAGGCCGCTGCGTCCTGCCGGACCACTGCTACTGCCGGAGAGGCTACACGGGCTTCACGTGTGCAGGAAAGGTGAGCCGTCGGGTCGTAAAGGCAGAACCACGGCTGATGATCAGCACATAACGACGACGTCCAGGAAGAAGAAAGCTGTGATCTGATGTTTCTGTGCTCTTCCCAGGCGTCACGAGCATGAGGACCAGAGGAGAGCACCAAGATGTGGAGTGTGTTGAAGTGTGTGATGGTAGAGCAGCGCGAGCTGATCTGAGGACTGGGTTTGTTGCACAGGTGTGTGTCTTTTTGTGCATCTCCACCTGAACGTGTCAGTTACGTCTGTTAAACCCGTCACATATGTAGATCTTCTCAAACGTCTCTGTGGCTTTTTAAGTGTGCAACTAATGGAGATGAGAAGCTCCTAACTAACCCATCTAACTAAAGAACCCATGCTGCAAAACTCTCCCACATCCCCCAGAAACTTTATTCTTCCTTTTCAGCCAACAGGAAGTGTTTTGTTTTAGCCACACTTTGAGGTTTTATTGCAGAATTATGAAAAACGAACAAACTTAACGAATCACTTGAATCATTTTTACCAGAACTTTAGTTTTAGACTCTTCTGTTCCCACCAGGTCAAATAAAACCTTTTACTGAACAGACGTGCAGTTTATTTCTGCATTCTGCCCTGAGATGATGCACATGGCTAACATTTTTATGACTCTGATGTGCAGATTTGTTTTTTTTATATTAATCTTATTTTATATATAAAATATATGTATAATCTTGTTTTAAAGCTTCAGTACAAGAATACTTGTGGTCTGAAGTCAGAAATAATCTTTAAAGTAACAAAATAAAGACATTTTACAACTTCTTTCCTTCCGTCTTGTTCAATAAGCTGTGACAATAGTTTTTATGATTTAATAACAAATGACAAAATGTATGTTTTTATACAACCAAATCATAACGAACAGGTTTATTTTATTTTATTTAATGCATAAAGAACAAGAAATGAGCTGTAAAGTCATCCTTGAACCCAGGCTTGGGGAGGATCAGTGGGATTTCTTCCTCTCCTCGCAGCGAGGCCCTGAGAAAGATGGCCGACAGCGACACTTGTTGGGAGAGATGCACTTCCCTCCGTTCAGGCAGGGCTGGCTGCACTCGGCTGCAGCCGAGACCGAAGGAGCCGAAACAGAAAGAGTTAGAGCTGCCACATGTAAACACTGAGCTAAAGGTGTGAAGAGTTCCTCACCGGTGTGGCACGCGCCCCCCAGCCAGCCCTCCGGACAGCTGCAGACCCCTGGAGCCACGCAGACCCCCCCGTTCCTGCAGCCCTGAGGACAAATCGCTGCTCGAGAGACAAACCAGAGACATTTTCAGCTGCTGCACGTTGGACACGTTTATTTCAGAGATGCAGGAGAAGCACAAATAAAATCATAAAATCATAAAATATAAATCTTTATTTCCATCGAAACATCGTTCTCTCTGAAATCTGCTTCAGCTTCTTCCTATGCACCATTTAGCCTTTAGCTAGTCTTGCTAATTTTAGCTTTTGTCTAATGTTTTGCTAATTTTAGGTTGTTGTTATGGTTTGGCTATTTTTAGCTACAGGATTTTAAGTTTTAGTGATTGTTTAGCTCATTTTACATTTTAGACACTTTTTTGAAGGTTTTAAGCTGTTTTGCTAGCTCTAGCCTTTAGCTGCTGTTTAGCATTAAGCTGCTCCATTGCTATTGTTCTGCTCATTTTACCTTTAAAATGTTTTAAGCTATTCTTTTGCTATTTTCAGCTTTTAGTTGCTGTTTTGCTAATTTTAGCTTTTACTTACTGTTCTGCTCATTTTACATTTTAGCTGTTGTTCTGGAGGTTTTAGATTTAAGTTCTTGTTTTGCTAATTTTAGCACATAGCTGCTGTTTTGCTGATGATTTAAGCTTTTAGCTACGGCATTGCTTCTGTTCTGTTTATTTTATACTTTAGCTACTATTTAAAATATATTTAAGCTGTTTTGCTAGTTTGAGCTTTTAGTTGCCGTTTCATCAGTTTTAGCCTTTAGCTACTGTTCTGAAGGTTTTAGATTTAAGCTGTTTTTGATAGTCTTAGCTTTTAGCTGCTGTTTTGCTGATTTTAGCATTTAACTTGTCTTGCTACTGCTCTGCTCATTTCAACTTTAAATCTTTTAGCACTCGGCTTTTACATTTTTCTAGTTTTCTGTGGACTCTTGTTGAAACGATCTTGGACTGATGTGAACTCTGTTTTTGTTAAATCTATTGTTTATTTGTTTACAAAATTATCTGCAAGAAACAACAAATATTTGGTCTTCAGTCCACAGAGGAGCAGCTAAAGTGAAGCTGAAGGAGTTTCTCGGTCATCGTCATCATCTGCTGTATCAGTAATAAAACAGCCTCGTGAGCATCAGCTGATGAAGCAGCGTTGACCTTTGACCTTTGCAGTGAATTCAAGTTAACGCACCGTGTTGACACTTTGATCCGGTCCAGCTGGAGGGACAGACGCACTCGGCCACTCCGTTCACAGCCGTACATTCTCCTCCGTTCCAACACCCCCCATCACATGTCACTGAAAACACACACGCACAATTACCGACTGTACTGATGGAAGGTTTAATATTTTAACTTCAGGACTTGAATATGAATCTTTAGCCTCCTGCTGCCCTGGGGTCAAATCACCCACAGGGCCCCAGAATTAAAACTGAAGTGTTGTGTGTGTGTCCTTGTTTATGCTACTTTGTGAGGCCCATTTTTCCAACTTATACTGCATTGTGAGGACCAACTGCTCCTTATGGGGCCCAAAGCCCGGGCCCCATAAGAAGAAGTCCCGTTGGTGGGTTAGGGGCTAGGTTTAGGACTAAGGTGTGAATTGAGGATGTGTTAGGTTTAGGGTTAGGTATGTACTGGTAATTGTTAGGTTATGGATAAAGGTCATGGTTAGGCTATAGAAATGAATGAAAAATGAATGGAAGTCAATGCAAAGGCCCCATAAAGATAGCAAAACAAACCTGTGTGTGTGTGTGTGCGTGTGTTAATTTTACCCACTCACCTTTATGACAGAATCTTCCTCCAAATCCAGGAGGACACCTGCACTTCCCTGGTCGAAGACACTCGCCACCATTTTTACATTTGGGAGAACAGCTGGCTGAAAAAACACAAAGAGTTGTGTCGTTACCTGTTTTTCATATTAATATAAAGATGAACACGTCGATCATAAAAACGTGTAAAGCTGCACATTATTCATGTTTGTTTCACTGATTTGACTTTTTTCTGTATTTGTTCCTCTTTTTTTTTGCTAACTCTTTTATAGCATCACATCCAGCAGAAACCTGATCCTGGACCTGATGAACCCCTCAGGTCTGGTACTGGGTATTTGCTGGATTTTCCATCCTTCAGTTCTTCAGGTCCACTTTTTAGCTCTTTGACAATCAAGAATGGTTCAGATGGCAAATTAATATTTTTGTGTTTTTAATGTAGAATAATCTGCGAAATAATCTGAAACTGAAACAAAGAAAGTTGTTTCTGACTAAACTTGTTCATGTTTTGAGTTTAGCACTTTAATTATAAATGTAATTAACTGAAGCCCAGATCGACAGAACTTCATTAGTTCCTGATCACGTTTAATTGGACCTGCTGGACCCTCACCGTACTGGCAGCTCTCTCCCTCGTAGCCCTTGGAGCAGAAGCAGGAGTTGTTCCGGATGCAGACCCCCCCGTGTTCACACGGAGGGGCGCACTTCGCCTTCAGGTCGAACACGAAGCCGACCGCGACCCCCCGCGGCCCGTCCGAACCACCGGAACAAAAACCTGCAAGGAGGGCGAGCAAGAAGAAGGAGGCACAGACTGCTGGTCCCGGACCTGAGGAGCCCATGGTCGGTTCTGGTTCTGTGGTGGAGAGGAGGGACGATCCAGGGCCGGTCTGACGGGGAGGGGGGCACTGGGCGGTCCTGAAGGTGGGGGGGGCAGGTCTGGGTGGACATTAACTCAACTTCACTGAACAAAAATACAAACATCACTTTTTGTTTCATGAACTCAAAGATCTGAGACTTTTTCTACATTTTCTCTCAGATGTGAGTTCTGGGTCTTTGTCCTGTGGAGGACCCACGAGCTGCAGCCGAGACCAGACTTTCTGACACCGAGCGGCACATTGAGCTCCAGAACAGAACCGAGCCTCCTGCACAACGTGCACGGTTCTGTTCTTGACGTCACGGTTGTGTGAACAGAGATGATCGGACTTTGTTGTCCTAAAGCTCCAGTTGGGTCTCATCTGTCCAAACGTCCTCCTCCCAGCAGCTCTGGGACGTCTCAGGGGGCAGCTCCAGTCCATCTGGTTCATGACTTGCTGTCCTCCGTTATGTCCAAGCAGTGACTGATGCTGCCATCAGACTCTGATGACCTTTGACCCTGGAGTTCACCTCTAACCTCTTTGGAAGCTCTTCTGGACTCGTACATCAGTTGTCCTCTTGTGGACACGTCCAGGAAGCTGTCTCGGGTCCTGTGGACCTGAAACGTCTGAATAATCATTTTTTGTGTTGCTTGAACAAACATTTGAGTTTGACGTGAGACAAAGAGCGACAGAGGACGTCCTGAGCTCTGCAGAGACACAAACTGAAGCTTTTCTACGTTTTTCAATCTGTCTCCAAGTAAATAATCCCACACTGTAAACTGTTGTCCTCATTTAAAAACACGTCTTCCTGCAGTGGACCCTGTGGGGTTCAAACCTTCTTCAGGTGGCAGCTACAAGAAGAAAACATCTGGGGAACAAAACAAAACCTGTTCTCAGAATGTTTGTGATTAAATCGCCTGAGATTTTATTACAAAGTAAACTGAGTCTGAGAGCTCATGGATTATAATCTGAGCTGCCAAATTAAAGATTATTCAACGCTTCAGTGAAGAAAACCTCCAACCGACAGACTCTGTTTGTGATTTCCTCTCTGCTGAATGTTCACGGAGGCCACATGTGGAAAAAACATTTCCTTTCCTCAGACTCAAAGAACTCCTCCTGAGGTTCTGCAGTGATGAGAAGAACAGAACCGAGGCCGAACAGGAAGTGCCTGTCTGCTCCACCGTCTGTCTGTCTGTCTGCTCCACCGTCTGTCTG